CAGGGCAGGAGGAGACGGACAGCCCTCCAGTTCTTCTCTTCAGCCGTTCCTTTGGGAGCAGCCCTGAGGAGGGAGAGTGAGAATGGGAGGGGGCACTGCTGGCCGGGATGGGGTTTTGGGAGACCCTGGGCTTGGAAGTGCAAACACTCCCCCATGGGCACCTCTAGATGGGTTCGGGCTTCAGAGTTCAATCTCAGTGTGTTCCCCCACAAGTTGGATGACACTGGGCACACCTTTCAGCCTCAGCTTCCTGGCCTCTAGAATGAGGCGATGTCTACCTCCTGGCATCAATACATAGGGTGAATGGGGTGTCACAGATTAAGTACCTAACAACAGACTTGGTGCAGACTGTATCTGTGATTAATGTCCTCCTGCTCCCATGCTCTTTGCCTGCCTGGAGTGTTGGCCAGATGTTTGAGGTTGAATTGCTCTGTGGAGAAACGGGGTGTCGCTGACAGGCTCTTGGGGTCCAGGGATCTCTGGGCCCTACTTGAGATACCTGTTTCTGCCCAATGGTGGCTCACCTGTCCCCTGTCTGCTCTCCTTAAGGAAGCCAGACAGCCATATTACCTATTAAAGGGCAGAGCTGAGTTTTGGACTGAGAAGTGAGGCTCCAAATCTACTCTCAGTGCCCCCCACCTTTTGTCAGACATTGAAGGGATGCTGCTTAGGGAGGGATATTGGGAAAAAGGTGAACCATCTTTTCTTAACTTTTTAGCCTCATGAACCTCTTTGGGAATCTGATGACAGCTCTCCAAAAAGAATGCATCCATATGTACCAATATGCCACATTTTGCTTACAGTTCCAGGGGGTCCGTGGGGACCCCTGGTCCAGGGAAAGCTGAGGGTCAATGCTCTTAATGTGTTTTCTGCTGTGCTATAGCTACAGCTCATCGCTCAGAGCAGCCATGCAGCATTCATGGGCTTTGCTTAGAGACAACCAGGGATGTGTGATGGTCAGTGTACCCAGCAACTCAGCTCAAGAGTGAATGTGTCCTGGCCTCAGACTGGGGCTCGCTAAGGGCAGGGTTGTGTCTCCCCTCAGACTGGGCCTCCCGGAGGCAGGGCTGTGTCTCCCCCTCAGACTGGGG